TAATCCAACTCTCACATCCATATATGACTACTGGAAAAATCATAGCCTTGATTAGATGGACCTTTGTTGGCAAAGTAAAGTCTCTGCTTTTTAATATGCTGTCAAGGTTTGTCGTATCCTTTCTTCCAAGGAGCAAGTATCTTCCAATTTCATGGCTGCAATCACCATCTGCAGTGATTTTGGAGCCTAAAAAATGAAGTCTGACACTGTTTCCATTGTTTCCCCACATATTTGCCATGAAGTGATGGAACCGGATGCCATGATCTTAGTTTTCTGAATGTTGATCTTTAAGCCAACTTTTTCACTCTCTTCTTTCACTTTCATCAAGAGGCTCTTTAGCTGTTCTTCACTTTCTGCCATAAGGGTGCTGTCTTCGGAATATCTGAGGTTATTGATATTTCTCCCAGCAATCTTGATTCCAGCTTGTGCTTCATCCAGCCCAGAGCTTCTCATGATATACTCTGCATATAAGCTAAATAAGCAGGGTGACAATATACAGCCTTGACGTACTCCTTTTCCGATTTGGAACCAGTCTGTTGCTCCATGTGCAGTTCTAATTGTTGCTTCCTGACCTGCATACAGGTTTCTCAAGAGGCAGGTCAGGTGGTCTGGTATTCCCATCTCTTAAAGAATTTTCCAGAGTTTGTGATGATCTACAAAAAGGCAAAATGGTTGTCTGAGAAGGCCTTACAAATAGCTGTGAAAAGAAGAGAAGCAAGAAGCAAAGGAGAAAAGGAAACATATTTCCATTTGAATGCAGAGTTCCAAAGAATAGCCAGGAGAGATAAGAAAGCCTTCCTCAGCAATCAATGTGAAGAAATAGAGGAAAACAACAGAATGGGAAAGACTAGAGATCTCTTCAAGAAAATTAGAGATATCAAGGGAACATTTTATGCAAAGATGGGTTCGATAAAGGACAGAAATTGTTTGGACCTAACAGAAGCAGAAGATAATAAGAAGAGGTGGCAAGAATACACAGAAGAACTGTACAAAAAAGATCTTCACGACCCAGATAATCACGATGGTGTGATCACTCACCTAGAGCCAGACATCCTGGAATGTGAAGTCAAGTGGGCTTTAGAAAGCATCACTACGAACAAAGCTAGTAGAAGTGGTGGAATTCCAGTTGAGCTATTTCAAATCCTAAAAGATGATGCCGTGAAAGTGCTGCATGCAATATGCCAGCAAATTTAGAAAACTCAGCAGTGGCCACAGGACTGGAAAAGGTCAGTTTTCATTCCAATCCCTAAGAAAGGCAATGCCAAAGACTGCTCAAACAACTGCACAATTGCACTCATCTCACACTCTAGTAAAATAATGCTCAAAATTCTCCAAGCCAGGCTTCAGCAATACGTGAATCGTGAACTTTCAGATGTTCAAGCTGGTTTTAGGAAAGGGAGAGGAACCAGAGATCAAACTGCCATCATCCGCTGGATCATCAAAAAGGCAAAAGAGTTCCAGAAAAACATCTATTTCTGCTTTATTGACTATGCCAAAATCTTTGACCACGTGGATCACAATAACCTGTGGAAAATTCTGAAAGAGATGGAAATACCAGACCACCTGACCTGTCTCTTGAGAAACCCATATTCAGGTCAGGAAGCAACAGTTAGAGCTGGACATGGAACAACAGACTGGTTCTAAATAGGAAAAGGAGTACGTCAAGGCTGTATATCATCACCCTGCTTATTTAACTTATATGCAGAGTACATCATGAGAAACGCTGGGCTGGAAGAAGCACAAGCTGGAATCAAGATTGCTGGGAGAAATATCAATAACCTCAGCTATGCAGATGACACCACCCTTATGGCAGAAAGTGAAGAGGAACTAAAAAGCCTCTTGATGAAAGTGAAAGAGGAGAGTGAAAAAGTTGGCTTAATTCAACATTCAGAAAACTAAGATCATGGCATCCGGTTCCATCACTTTATGGGAAAGAGATGGGGAAACAGTGGAAACAGTGTCAGACTTTATTTTTTGGGCTCCAAAATCACTGCAGATGGTGATTGCAGCCTTGAAATTAAAATAATCTTGCTCCTTGAAAGGAAAGTTATGACCAACCTACGTAGCATATTAAAAAGCAAAGTAATGCTTTTAAATTTGCCAACAAAGGTCCATCTAGTCAAGGCTATGGTTTTTCCAGTGGTCATGTATGGATGTGAGATTTGGACTGTGAGAAAGCTGAATGCTGAAAAATTGATGATTTTGAACTGTGGTGTTGGAGAAGATTCTTGAGAGTCCCTTGGACTGCAAGGAGATCCAACCCGTCCATCCTAAAGGAGATCAGTCCTGGGTGTTCATTGGAAGGACTGATGCTAAAGCTGAAACTCCAGTACTTTGTCCACCTCATGTGAAGTGTTGACTCTTTGGGCCATACTAATCTTCTTTATATCATTCCAATTTTAGTATATGTGCTGCCGAAGTGAGCACGAGTTGACTCTTTGGAAAAGACCCTGATGCTGGGAGGGATTGGGGGCAGGAGGAGAAGCAGATGACAAAAGATGAGATGGCTGGCTGGCATCACCGACTCCATGGACATGAATTTGAGTAAGTTCCAGGAGTTGGTGATGGACAGGGAGGCCTGGTGTGCTGCGATTCATGGGGTCGTAAGGAGTCGGACACAACTGAGCGACTAAACTGAACTTACAGGGTAAAAGGCTTTGGCGTACTCAATAAAGCAGAAGTAGATGTTTTTCTGGAACGTTCTTGCTTTTTCAATGATCCAACGGATGTCGGCAATTTGATCTCTGGTTCCTCTGCCCTTTTTAAATCCATCTCGAACATCTGGAAGTTCATGGTTCACGAATTGTTGAAGCCTGGCCTGAAGAATTTGAGCATTACTTTACTAGTGTGTGAGATGAGTGTAACTGTACAGTAGTTTGAGCATTCTTTGGCATTCCCTTTCTTTGTGATTGGAATGAAAACTGACCTTTTCCAAGCTTTCAGTCTCAGTTAATGGAAATTCCATTTTCCTTTGTGGGCAAATTAACAAGATGGCGCCAGTCTGGCTCTCTCACTGCACGCTCTCACACCCTCTGGTTCAATGTTCTGTAAACAATGACTTTGCCTGGTTATGTAACAGCTGAGGTGACTTATGGCACCACACATGTGCATCATGTACCTGCTTGGCCATGGGCCACTTTTGTTCTGTACAAGTTTATAAGCCCCACCTTAAGACACCCCTTTTGGTTGTTGCCAACAGAGAATAAACATGCCTGCCATTTCTACAGCTCTTCAGGTTTTCTTGCAGCTTCCTTGCTCGTGTTCTGTATTTACTGGGTTCAGTGAATAATGTGAGAAGCAAGACACCTTTCACTTGAGACCAAGTCACTGAGTTATCTCTTATTTTACACTCTTTCCTAACAGTCTTTCCATGAGCGTAATCCTGTGTGCCACTACTCTACTCAATCCAGCCTTTTCTTTCATTTGAAGCCACATAAATTGTCTTCCTATATCCAGCCTAGCTCCCTGCTCTATTCTCCAAAATCTAGACATACAGCTCCCTCTGAAAATGTATGTCTTACCAATTCAGTTCAGTTCAGTTGCTCAGTCATGTCTGACTCTTTGCAACCCTATGGACTAAAGCATGCCAGGCCCCCCTGTCCATCACCAACTCCTGGAGTTTACCCAAACTCATGTTGGTGATGCCATCCAACCATCTCATCCTCAATTGTCCCCTTCTCCTCCCGCCTTCAATCTTTCCCAGCATCAGGGTCTTTTCCAATGAGTCAGCTCTTCTCAGCAGGTGGCCAAAGTATTGGAGCTTCAGCTTCAACATCAATCCTTCCAACGAACACTCAGGACTGATCTCCTTTAGGATGGACTGGTTGGATCTCTTTGCAGTCCAAGGGACTCTCAAGAGTCTTTTCCAACACCACAGTTCAAAAGCATCAAATCTTCGGCTCTCAGCTTTCTTTATAGTCCAACTCTCACATCCATACATGTCTTACCAAGTTATAGAAAATGCTTCAAGAAGTTTCCATCTCTGAACCAAAGTAAAATTGCATTCAAGTCATTTCATCAAAGCACACATATATCGGCAATGGAAATGTTCTTCCCATAGACTTCATCTTTCCTAGAATTCTGCTGTTAAAATAACATGAAGAAAGCACCCTAGAGCTCTGTGATGTGAGATATTACAGGCTATTCATTTTGAGTAGTCATGTAGAGCTCAGACATTCACAAACTCACACTGTTTAGCTCAATTTGTCCACTATTCACTGTGGCGTATAATTTGAAAGTCCCTGTTTTCAGAACAGGTGATATGAAGATGATTGCAGAATTTTTAATCCACTGGGGCAAATCCAATAATTAAAGAGAATAGGATTAAAATTGTAGCTATATTCTTTTTTATTTGTGAATCAGTAATTTTTTTAGAATATTGATACAATAATAATCACAGGGTGTTTGTCCCCAAACTTTTGCAGCTTTGGAAGATTTTGTTGGTTTGTTTAACCATGGGGCAAGTGTAAAGGAAAAATGAGTTGATTTGAACTCTAATATCTGCTCTTCTTCTTTTTTTTTTTTTCCTTTCTTTTTTTCCTAGAGGTAAGAACAAGGATCAGAAGAAGCTTTAACTTACTTAATAATACACAGTTTTTGATAGTTGGCCATACAGTTTCTCTATAACTAATGAAATATTTTTTTGAACTCTAATATCTGCTCTTCTTTCTTTTTTTCTTTCTTTTTTTCCTAGAGGTAAGAACTAGGATGAGAAGAAGCTTTAACTTACTTAATAATACACAGTTTTTGATAGCTGGCCATAAAGGTTCTCTACAACTAATGAAATATTTTTTATTACCTTCATCTGTAGGAAGAAAACAGCCAAGGTAAATTCTCTTACTTGTGAATGCTAAAAAATCTTTGATAGTTGACCAATCTCTTATGAAACATGACACAGAGAATTTTATTATAACAATCTATTCCCAGCTTACTGAAACTTTTGTGGATACTTTCTGTGTAGATAAGCATTTTGCAAATATCTTTTTAAATGCTACCACAACATCCTTGTTTCTGAGGCTGTAGATAAGAGGATTGAGCATGGGTGTGACAATGGTATAGAAGGCTGATACTACCTTGTCTTGCTCAGGGGTGTGAAATGACTTGGGCAGCACATAAGTGTAGAAGGCAGCCCCATAGAAAATGCTGACTACAGTCAAGTGGGAAGAACAAGTGGTAAAGGCCTTTTTCCGGCCCTCAGCAGAGCGCATGCGGTGGACAGTTAACAAAATGAGGGAGTAGGAGGTTGAGATAATAGAGATGGGGATGAGCAACATGAGCACACAGCAGATGTACATTAAGTTTTCATACAAGGATGTATCAGCACAAGCCAATCTGAGAACTGCAGGGATCTCACAGAAGAAGTGATCAATCCTGTGGGATCCACAGTAGGGGACATTCATGGTGATAGGGGTGAGCAGAAAGCCATCCAGGGATCCACCAAACCAGGCACCAGCAGCCAGAAGAAGACACATTCTGCGGTTCATCAACACTGGGTACCTAAGAGGGTTGCAGACAGCCACATAGCGGTCATAGGCCATGAGGCCCAACAGGAAGAACTCTGATCCCATCATGGTCAAGTAGAGGAAGAGCTGGATGCCGCAGGCCACAAAGGAAATGGTCTTCTCATTAGAAACTAAGTTGACTAGAAGCTTTGGGACAGTAGTACAAATGAAAAGGGTGTCCATGATAGACAGTTGGCTGAGCAGAAAGTACATGGGGGTATTGAGATGGGAGTCCATGTGAATCAAGAATATCATGACCAGATTTGCAGTTACAGCCACCACAAAAATAGCCAAAATAACTGCAAAGACAATCCCTGTAAATTTACTGTTGAGCAGGAGCCCCAGGAGGATAAAGTCAGAGGTTGAATTTCTATTCTTCATTGACATCATATGTGACAATGCCAAGGAACAGGAAGCCACAAATACCAGAGGGAAAAAAGAGACAGAAAACACTTCCTGTAACAGAGAAACTCACAGTGGAGATGACATCTTAGAGGCCACGGTTCAGATAATTTTTTCCAGTTATAATGCTAGAGAAAATCAGACCCAGAGATATCTTAAATTAGTAGCTAGAGATATGTTTCTTCTTTTTGGAGAACAACCCATTTTATACTGTGCTCATATATATGTTATGATACATAGTTTATGCAAAATAAAATTTGTGTTTGCTCATATCTAGAGTTTTAATTATATCTGCTCTATTCATTCTGCATATTTAGCTTTCAGAATCTTGTTTGTCTCGTGGTTGGGTTAAATGAACACTGTATCAACTAAAAATCGGCACTAGTCATGGGCATTTGTGTTTCCCTGGTGGCTCAGATAGTAATCTCCCTTTAATGCAATAGACCCAGGTTTGATCCCTGGGTTGGGAAATTCCCTGAAGAAGGGAATGGCTACCCACTCCAGTACTCTTGCCTGGAGAATTCCATGGACAGAGAACCCTGGTGGGATGCAGTCCATGGGGTCTGCATCTTGTGTGGCTCCTGCATTGAAGGTAGATTCTTTTACCTCTGAGCCACAGGGGAAACCCTGGCATCTTATAACACTATCTACCTGTATCTGATAGCTCAGTTGGTAAAGAATCCTCCTGCAATGCAGGAGACCCCGGTTCAATTCCTGGGTTGGGAAGATTCCCTGGAGAAGGGAAAAGCTACCCACTTCAGTATTCTGGCCTGGAGAATTCCATGGACTATAGTCCATGGGGTTGCAAAGAGTCGGACAGGACTGAACAACTTTCACTTCTTCACTTCACATGTATAATAGTCTAAGAGTCCACAGGTTAAGGGTTCAGTCCCCTAAAAGTGACCTCATTTCAGATGCCAATCACAAGTACAGGCCATTTCCAGTGCTTCTAAATTATTGGCTGTATATTGGAGTTTTCCACGATATTCTTTAAGAATTCAATTAAATTCTCTAGAATGTTTCAGAGAACTCAGAAAAACATTTTACTTACTAAATTGACTAGTATGTACCTCAGGAATAACAAGCTGGAAGAGATGCATAATGCAAGATGTGTGGGAAGAAGCCATTAGTCATTTGTCATTAATTAAACCTCTAAACCCTCTTGTCCTTAGAAATCTAAGAGGTAGGATTTTGAAAGTTATAAATGGCAGAAACCAACATGACAATGAAAAACAATTTTCCTTCAATTAAAAAATAAAAATAAATTTTTTAAAATTCCAAAGCTCTAATGGATGGTTAATTTCTTAGTAACCAACTCCCATTCTTGGGTGGTGGGAGTCTTCCTAGGTAGTGCTAGTGGTAAAGAACCTACCTGCCAGTGCTGGAAACATTAGAGATGAAGGTTTGATTCCTGGGCTGGGAAGATCTCCTGGAGGAGGACTGTCACCCCACTCCAGTATTCTTGCCTGGAGAATCCCATAGACAGAGAAGCCTGGTGGGCTGCAGTCTATAGTGTCACAAAGAGTCGGACATAAATGAAGTGACTTGGCATGCATGTACCCTTAGGGCTTTCCATACATATTAACATAAATTCAGGTGTGGCTGAAAGGAATTCCTTTAAAATAGCAAAAGACACCTGAATGACTCTTTGTATTTATGAAATTCTCAGGGTTTTAGAATCTCTGTGCCAGGAATGGAGATGAAAACCAAATATATATTTCTTATTAACCTCACAATATCACAAAGTGTTAAAAAAAAATTTGTTTGGGCATGAGGAATAAAATGTTCAACTTCTTCCTAGTTTTTTTCTGGTAGCTTTCTTATCATCTACTTATTCTTTGTTCTAGGCTCAGCAAAATAATCTTGAGAAACCGACATCAGACCAGGTCACTTTATGCTCAAAACTCTGCTATCGCACTTCATATGCCTCTTTAAGGCCCATTGATGTGTGACAATTTCACCCTCTGAAATCATTTTCTTCTGCCTGCAATGCATTTGTCCTAATGCTGCAGTTCTATGACTTCCTTACTGATTCTTTGTCCTCACTTTGTGGGAGTTTCCCAGCCCAAGTCCTTTGTTTCTGCTCTAACCCAGGTCTGGTTGTCCTCCTCACCTCTGTGTATGGTCATCTCTTCATGTGTTTCGGAGCTTTCCTCAAAGTTCAACTTCTCAGAAGGATCTATTCTGTAGGACTGGATTACTTTAAATATTTTTCTTATTCCTTAACACTATCTCTTGTACATATTCACCTTATTATATATTTCTCGCCTTCACATTAGACAGTAAGATCAGTATGAGCAAGGATACTTGCCTGTTTTGCTTACCATATACTTTTAAAATGTAAAATGTTTAACATACGGTAATTTTGTTGAATATTTAAATGACTTATTATTAAACATATGCAGTTAATAAAATGCATTTTTTTTTGTTTTAAAGATGATGTATTTCAGTAGAATTCCTTTAAAATACACCCAAATATGCTCTATAAAATGCGCTAAAGTGAAAATTTAAATGTTATGCCTTTGTGTTTATCTTTAATTCAAATTAGCACCATTATAAAATAGGATTCACCCATATACACTAATACACTTAGTTCTAAATCACAGAAAAACATCAAAAGTATCTAAAAACCAACAGCAATGCAAATTGTACATCTTAATCATTGAGGTTTTATGTAAGCAAATTTAAGAAAATTTCTCTCTGTGATTTAAAATCACATTCTTTTATAAAGAGGAACTCACCTGTCTATTGGGGTTCCCAGGTGGTACTAGTGGTAAAGAACCTGCCTGCCAATGCAGGAGACATAAATGAGTCGGGCTTGATCCCTGGTTCATGAAGAGCCCCTGGAGGGCATGTTAACCCACTCTAGTATTCTTGCTTGGAGAAGCCCATGGACAGAGGAGCCTGGCAGTCTGCAGTCCATAGTCAGACACAACTGAAGTGACTTAGCACACAGGCACCTTCACTCTTCTGAATCTGGTTTGTTGTGACAGCTCTTCATTCATTATGTCCCAAATAATGTGTAAAAGATAACTGTACTTTCAGATGTTATTATCTACCTTTAGATTATATTGTGAATGCTAACAATATAATTTGAACTCACCTTAGTTACACAGATAAAAGTGGAGAAAATAATTCTGCATGATTTTTCTTAGCATCAAGTTTTCACTATTATCAGAAAAATTGTGTATTAATAATGTACAATGGATTAATTTTCAAAATATATAGCTCATGAGTCTTGATATAAAAAAAATCTCGAACAAAAATGGACACAATTCCTAAATAGATATTTCTCCAAAGAAGACAATATAGATGGCTAAAAAGCACATGAAAAGATGCTGAACATCACTAATTATTAGATAAATGTAGCTGAAAACTACAGTGAGGTATCTCCTCACACTGGTCAGAATGGCCATCATAAAAAACATCTATAAATATTAAATAATGGAGAAGGTATGGAGAAAAGGGAACCCACTTGTTCTGTTTGTGGGAATATGATTTGATGTAGTCACTACAGAGAATAGTATGGAGATGCCTTAAAAACTAAAAATAGAACTACCATATGACCCAACAATGCCATTATTGGATATATAACTTGAGAAAACCATAATTCCAAAAGATACATACACCTCAATGTTCATTGCAGCACTATTTACAACAGTCAGGACCTGGAAACAACTTAAATGTCCATTAACAGAGGAATGGATAAAGAAGATGTGGTGCATATACACAACAGAACATTACTCAGTCATAAAAAGAAGCGAAATTGGGTCATTTGTAGAAACATGAGTGGATCTAAAGTATGTTATGCAGAGTGAAGTAATTCAGAAAGAGAAAAAATGAATATCATATATTAATGCATATATGTGGAATTTATGACATTGGTACAGATGAGTTGATTTGCAGTGCAGCAGTAAAGACTCAGAAGAAGAGAATGGACATGTAGACTTGGAGGGAGGGATGAGAGGGGAATGAACTGAGGGACTGTGATTGGCGTATGTGCACTGCCATGTGTAAACCAGATAACTAGTGAGAACCTATTGCATAGCCCAGAGAGCTCAGCTTGGTGTTTTGTGGTGACTGAGATGTATGGAATGGGGGTAGAGGGATGGGAATGAGGTTCAAGAGGGAGGGGGTATAGCTGATTCACTTCATTGTCCAGCAGAAACTAGCACAGCATTGTAAAGCACTTATACTTCAAGTTTCAAAAATATAGAATTAATTTACTGTTATATTCAGTTAACAGATATATAACAGATTTAGCTTAGCTTTAAATAAAACCACTGTGCAAAACATTTCTTGAGAAAGCTGTATGCAGGTCAAGAAGCAACTGTACATGGAACAACGGACTGGTTCAAAATTGGGACAAGACTGCATATTGTCACCCTGCCATTTAACTTACATGCAGAGTATGTCTTGCAAAATGCCAGGCTGGATGAAGCATAAGCTGGAATCAAGATTGCTGGGAGAAATATTGGTAATCTCAGATATGCAGATGACAACATCCTTATGGCAGAAAGTGTGTGAAGAAGAATTAAAGAGCCTCTTGATGAAGGTGAAAGAGGAGAGTGGAAAACTGGCTTAAAACTAAACATTCAAAAAATTAAGATCATGGCATCTGGTCCCTTTATGGCAAATAGATGGGGAGACACTAGAAACAGTGGCAGACTTTATTTTCTTAGGCTCCAAAATCACTGATGATGGAGTTGCCAGTGACATCTATTTGACCTTGACTATATTTTCCATCTTACTACAATCATTTATTATATCTGTAAAAATGATTTAATTTTAAGTCAAGAATAAGCCTCTATTTACACCTTGATCAAAAATACCTAGAATTTTCCTATTCTTGGTTTTTAAATATCAGTAAGGTGACTAAGATGTATTAAATTTATTCCAGAATCCTACCCACATCTGCCCCTATATTTCAGAACACAATTCACCTAATTCCTTCTGACTCTTAATCTTCCATACTGCAAGATTTCATC